TGAGGAGGGGACGTCTGGAAGAAAGGAGGGGAGCACTGGGCTGGGAAAGGAAGAAGCAACATGAAAAGCAACCAGATGGAGAGTGAGGGGAAGACCAAAGATGTGCTGGCAGGCAAGGGGGAAACAAGCAGACTGGATGAAGGAACGGTGAAAAAGCTGGAGCAAGGGCAGTCAGGTTTCTGAGGGAGGTCTGGGGGGTGTTTCAGAGCTCGAGGTGTGGAGGTTTAAATGGGAATAGGGAGGGGGTTGGGGTGGCTGGAGGATGGCCGGTTGTTTGGGGCAGCCTGTATCAGCACCAGGGTAAGGATGGAGAGATGCTGCTGCCTGCTATGGGGCTCAGATAGCTGTGCCGGCCTTTCAGACAGGCCACCGTTACCTAGCCCAAATGTGATGGACCATAAAACCCCACCGAAAGCGCAGCTTATATCCTAGGACAGAGGAGAACCAATGACAGAAAATGGTCTCAAACTTCTAATTGAAACTGACGCCTGTACCACACGCACGAAGGTCAAAGATGAGATAGACATAACAGCTTCCACTCACAAGGAGCAACTTCTGGTTATCGTTGGGACACTTGCCAGCCTTAACTCCTCCACTGCTAACAAAGCCCGAACAAGAGCCAGCCATGGAGCTACCCACTCCCTTCCCCAGGGGAGGAATTGCCCTCTGAAGCACGCTTTTCCAAAGCCCTAAGTCACACCTCTTGATTCTTTTAAAGCCTAAACCCAAGCTCTAGCGCCACTGAAAATTGGAGATTTCTTAACTTCCTACTGGATATTTGCTGTGTACTTCTAATCCGTGACTACTGGCTTTTCAAACAAATGAATGAATACTGAATTATGAAATACATTATGCACTTTTACCCATGACTGTAAATGTGGCTTCTGTTAATACTGAAGGAGTATGGTCCCATAATTGGAGGGAGCAGAAACACAGTGTCAACAATTTATTTAAAAAAAAAAAAAAATCTGCAAAAAATCTCTTAAATAGATTTTCAGTGAAGTATATGCAACAGGTTTTATTGGTACTTGTTAGCAATGACCTGCATATGTCATTTGTATGAATATGGCCCTATCAAATGCATGGTGATGAGACACATTTCACTACGTTGCCCTTTATATAGACTCTATTTATACACGGGGATGAATGAATTGACAAGACAAGAGGTGCGGCATATAGATTTGATATACTGGCATAAATTTAGGATGATCTACATTATTCATAAGCACTGAAGCCACAAATGAGATATGTAACAACATCCAAAATGAGTGTCAATAGAATCTGTTCCCACAGTGCACCATCGTATATTCCTATCTGTCACAGATTCCTTAGAAATTTCTCCTTCTAAGAAATCTGGTGTGCTCAGTCTGGAAAGCAACATTGCCTTGGGATCTGTGACGAGGCTTGCCTGGAAGAACTGGCTTTCAGAAAACTGTCTAAAAAGAAGTGGACAGAAAACATGAAAAATTTCCTGCTACTAAATCATTACCTCATTTTTCAGTCCAGCTGTGCCACAGTTGGGGACCCTAAAGTTATTTGGATCAGATCAATTCTTGGTGTCTTAAAAACTCCAAAATCAAAACTAAAACATTTGAAGTATCACCAGTTCAGTAGGCAACAAATACGACAGAACTGACAAATAAACTAAACCCAAATCTATTTTTACAAATTGAAGAGATGGAGGGATGCAAGTTTGGAAAACATGTATGAGCTAAAACATTGGATACTTTGAGTTTCACTTGTTAATGTACTTTTTTAAAAGGCTTAATTTACTACACGTGCACCCAGTATAGGAAATGATTATTCTCTTTATTGCCACAATATTTCAGGCACAAAAATACGTGTATTCAGAATAAAACCTATTTCTTTTTTAGATGGGTGAAACCGTTTACAGAGTAGCGGTTGTCAGAAGCCAAGAAGCAGGAGTGTGCAGAAGAGTGGTACAAAAATATTAAAGATTAATGACCACCTTCATGCCAGATATAAACCAGAAGCTCTCCACAGAAGCCCTTAACCTCACATTTGAAAGGGAACTAAGCGTTTTCACCTGCTAAAATCTGAGTTTGGATTTCAGATGAGTGACCCTGACTTGAAAGATTTTGTTTCCTATCTGAACCATCCAATCACTCATATCTATCTCTCCATTTAAATAAATATAGAAGTGTTATTGAAACACAAGTAATAAATAAGGTCTTCTATGGCCAAGTAAAATAAAAAATGCTTGTCTTTAGTAATTTTCATTTTACAACATATCAATACTATTTAGTTTTACAACTATGAAGATTTTAAACATGTTCTTTTCACAAATATAAGAAATATGTACACGAAAGCTACTTATGGAAATAATAAATTTTATGGCAACTACAGTAAAGAAAAAAAATGAAAGGTACCTGGAATTTCAGTGAAAGCCTCTCCAAGGACGGACACACGAAAAGGTAGATCTTTCTCTTGCAGTTTCAGCAGGACTTTAAAGAAAGTTTCAGGATCTTTATCATGTTCCCTTGAAACAAACAAAACTTATCTCAGCATCATTTATGTTTACTTGTGGAATTGAGTTTTTTTTGTTTATCAGAACAGTATTTCTCTTAAATTGTACTTCTGGGGACGAAACACCTTCAGCAAAATTTCCCTCCTTGCTTACACTGCATGGTTAAACGTTTTCCTCAAACGAGCACTCAGGATCAAAACTCAGGTTTCAACAGATTCTTATTGCTCTTCCCTGTCTTCATATGATGCCTTTACTCTTCAAATTACCAACTTTGAAAGTGAGAAGGACTGAGTAAATATCTCACCTAGCACAAGGCAAAATCATATTAAAAAAAAGGTAGGATAGGAAAAAAATGTCGTCTTTTTTTTTCTCAGTCCTGTCAAAAATGATGTATACAAGCTCCACTACAATTTATCCCCTTTTTTAGGAGGAACAGGTTAATAAAAAACTTTTGCTAAAACCATAGGATTTCTTAAACTGGAATTTTATGAATCCACGCTATACTCATGAAAAACTTTCAAACCATCCAGTGCTTTAGGGAAAGAAGAAAGGAATAAACTAGCATGAGGCCTTTTCTACCTTTAGACTTTTAAGGAGTTAACTGGAAGTTAAAACAGAAAATAAGAAACCTGTACTTATTTATAATTTCAGCTGAAGATAATATTAAATGTTTGCACGGGTATGACACTCAATGCCTTGAAACACAAAGTTGGCTATCTAAAAAGAAAATAAAAAGTCAATTTGCTAATCTATCTTCTTTCTTAGCACAGAATGAAAGGTTCAAAAGATACCACAGATGATCTGAATTTCCCAAATTTGGTAAGTTACATTAAAAACGAGATGAGATAATTCCCCCACTCTAAGGTGAATATTTTATCTTGCCTTTAATTATTCTGCTTTAAATTATTGTATTTCAGACAGATGTGCACCATATGTCTTTAAAATATTTTGGTTTTATTTATTATTTAGAAAATTCCACTGTTTTCCTTCCTGTATTAAGGGAAAATCTATAGCTCAGCTGTCCTGGTGTCTTTCTTCACAGACTAATTTTGTAGAATGAATCTGTAGGTTTGTCAGACTGCTATATGAAAGATTAATAATTATATCATTCAGGAAATCTGAAGCCAAATGACATCTGCAGCTCTACATGTGTTAATTTCTCATTCAGTCAATATTTTTGGTTTAGGGAATTAAAACAAATTAATCTTATCATTAATGTGACTTCCCTAGGCTGAGAAATCTTCAGGAATTGTGGAGTTCTCAAAATTAGTTGCGTTTTCTTAAAATAAAGCCAGACAATAATTACTTTAAGAAGTCCTCCATCTTCCAGATTTGTTTTGTTCCCAATAATAAGGAGGAATGCAACTGCATAAGCTTCATAATTTGTTTCACATCTGTGAACCAGGAGTTTTCACGGTGGTTCCAGTAACCGAAGTGGATACGAGCACTGGCTCAGAGAGAGAATTTCTTCCAGTCGTGAAGATCCCAGAACTGCCTACTAGTTTGCTTGCATCCTCACGCTTTAAATAGCCACCTGTTTCTGGTAGGTAAATTATGTGCAGAAATGTGTTGCCAGTATTTTAATTCCCTCCAAGTGCCCAGCTGAAAGAGCCGAAACGGGATTACAATCGAGGATTCAGACTTGGCTGGAAGGGAACATCGCTATCGGAAATGTGCAAGTTTGCAAAGAAAATAGCTTTGATGCTGGGAGTCAGTGGAATTCATTATAACGGTTCCCGTTAGCCTCAGTTTCCCCTAGGCAGGGTTTTGTGGGTGCTTCGTAAGTGATCCTGATGAGCCCAGCCTGAACCTGATGCTGAGCTCCACCCGAGGTGGACCGAAACATCCCCGTCACACAGAGCAGGCAGCCTCGACAGACAGAGCCACGACGCTTACAGGGATCTTTCCAAGCTCTTCACAGCCCCGCTATCGGCTTCGCAGTCACAAAAAGTCCTTCCAGCAAAGGATATGATTTCCCTCTCCCTTTCCAGAAGAGACCAGGGGTCCCAGAGGCAGCCAAAAGTGGAGGATGCTGTTGGAGCCACATTGTCAAGGAGCTGGCAGGAGAATACGGAGCCTTACAGCTCGTCGAAGCCACATAAGCTGCACATATTTAGGAAAACTGATAGGAATTGGAAGTTGCAGCTTTGTTTAATAGGTGGGGAAGAACAGAAGGAAAATTTGGCACCCAGAAGGAATGCTGAAAGGGGAAACGTTTCCTCTGCACTGGAGTCTCTCATGGGTTTTCTGCTGTAGGTGATCCTCCTTCCATATCCCCTTTTAAAATATTTTGCTTTTATCTGATACTCACAGATCTTAATAACACGTTTTGTGAATCTTGTAGCTGCTCTATCTGGGAGGTCATCTCACTCGATTTGTCAGTTCCTGTGACTTTTCCACACCACAAACGTTTGGTTTTCAGTTAAGACCTACAGAGAGCTTCCAGCACATGCACCTACAGATTACAACATATTGTGATTCTTGAAAGTTAGTAAAGGTATAGCTGCTCCTGGGAGAAAGCAGCAAATAGTACAAGACCACCTCTTTACCGCATCAAAAAGGAGAGAGCTCTGTTTCTTGGCTGACATGGAGAAAATCATATACAATCCAGTCTGCCTTACTCAGCAACAACTGCTAAACACACCAGATTGTCATAGCAGTGATCGTGGAAAAAGATGAACACAATATGGAATGTCTGTTCTGTAAAGATCTGCTCAAAATGACGTGCACTTTTGGCTGCATCTGTTGCATTTTTGAGCTTTATTAAACAGTATTAATTATATATACTCCACTTCCTTAAGAAGAATTATAAAACTGTATAAAAGTCTTACATTAAAATGCAAACTTCTCTTTTAAGATATTATGTTTGGAGAAAAATTGATTCAGTGTGATTCTAGGGTCTGCCTTTGTTGTTTAGTTTAGGTATTTGAAATGCTCTCGTGTTTTTACTTGATTTGATATGCATCTGGTAAAGGAAAAATAAGAACTGGGCATGGTATGAAGATGCTCTAAATTTCATCGTAAGAACATGAAAACATCAGAATAACCAAACTCCAGCTGTAAATGCCACAAAACAGACACAGGCAACATACCTATACTGAGATTTGAGTGCACTGCCATTGGAGACATTTAATCTCCATGTTTAGATACTGCACACTAAATTTTTTTTACCCAGGATTTTTTTATTTCTGAGTCTAAAACACGTTTTAAGACAGACACTTGAAGTCTCTCTTAAGGACTGGCTGAGATTTAGTGGTCTGGTTATGGAAATGTGGCCCAAGGTTCAGCCTGGTTTAGTGACTTCCCTTTGTAATCTGAAATAAAACTTTCAAGATTGTCCTTGAAATGGGGACTGGGAGGGTGGTGGTATCAGAAGCACCAGTATTGAGCCTCCATTATCTCTGCCTTAGATTTTCTGTTTATAAAATGGGTGTGACAGTATTATTTTTTCACCACAGAAGGATGCTGTCAGGATTAATTGATGACTTGACATCCCTCTTTCCAGCCCAAAATGATTAAAAAAAGCAACTTCATAGCACTACGATGATGCTCCTCTATACAGTCAATGGCAACAGTGTTCAAAACACCCTTCTGCTATTCGGAGATTTTGTGAATTCAGCCTGAGCCCTTGAGCCTTAGCTATTGCTGGAACTGGAGGGAGAGTGCATGGAGACCAGCTAAACTGGAGTTATTCCCTGGGGCTGCAGGACACCCATATCCCTGACCAGTGCTGGAAAATATATTTTAAAGAAAAATAAAAGAAATAGCAGAATTTGGCAGGATTCAGTGCATATTCATCTCTTGAATTTGAGTGAAATTCAGTAAGACATACATATGGTCTTCTATGACTTAAGTTTAATTTTTTAAGTATATGTAAACTTATCTACATGGTGATAATCACAGTTATTTTGGATTTGGAGGAAGACACATCTAGCTATGCAGTTAGAAAGTAGAAGAGTTGTGGAAAAAGAGACAGGACTTTCTCAAGGGGGCAAAATAAATGCAGTCTATTTAAAAAGAAATATATTAAAACCTATGGTTTATGCAAGTTAATTGGTAACACAAAAGTGTTAAACCAAGGGAAAAAGTCTTAATGTTTGAGAAAATACTGTGTAAAGAGTATGTAATGCTTGTGATAGTAACAGCCCTGTCGTGCCATTTCTCAAGGTGCTACCTGTTCTGAAAGGGTTACAAATAAGCTCAGCTAAAAGCAATATTAAAAGGGTTGATCTTAATCTTCTTAGGACATTTAGCACGGGAGATTTTCAGTGGTAGAGAAATCCCAAATTGTGAGGGCACGCAGTACTATTTCACTTTTTACAGTGCCTTAAATCCAAGCAATCCAAACTGGGTGCATCTCTTTCTGCCTCCCTATTTTGTAAAATCACCTGCATGTCAGGTGGGCCAAGGTGGGAAATGGCAATGCTAAAACAGGTACAAAATGTTCAGAAGTTAAAGTAGCATTTTTATTATTTTTAAAAATTTCTTTAGGATATACAGCAAGAGCAAAAAGACAGATTTCTGCATACCTGCAACTATTGCTAGAAGATGGCTGACAAAATAGACCACTGATGAATCACTCATTATTTATGAAGCTGGGCAGCAGTCGTGGAGACAGAGGACAGGTGAGCCAAGAGGCACCCAGGGAGGAGAGAAAGGGCCAGGGGACATCAGCCAGGGAAAAGCATGGCCATGGCAGGGCACAGGGGAGGTGTCAGGGGCAGGGATGGGGCTGGGGAAGTCCGTGAGCCCAGAATCAGTAATTAAAAGTGAAGGAAATGAAGTTTCAGAGGCACGGCCCTTGGAAGTGGATGACAGTGGTGCTATAGTTTTGGGGAAGTGAAATAGTGAGGAGCAAGCTTGGCAGCAAACAGGGCAGATGAGATGGGCAAAGCAACGTAAAGGGGCAGAGAAGCACAGGAAAAGAAAAAAGAAATAATTAAAAAATACAGATATTCAAGTTGAAAACTAAAAAAAAAAAAATGATGGCATATCCAAACCCAGGGGGGGAA